AGAGCCAGCTTCCCTCAGTGCAGAACTCTAGCATGTGGTGTTTATACAACATAATTGGTGCCCCCTGGAGTTGTCCAATAGAATAGCCCTGAATGTATCTACTTTTCAGGCGTTTTGGGATACAGGCTCCAGAGAGTGAGCCCAGAAAAACCAGGAAGTTTCTGCCTCTTCCCTATCCAAGGCCCACCTTCCAAGCTCTCATTGAACATTCCAAGCTCTCATTAGCTTCTGCCTCTTTCCAGCATGTCTGACAGTGGGCTGAACCTGCCCCTCACCCACAGATTGGGTTGCCTTCTGTGCCCTGCTAATTGAGTACATATAGAGTCCACGAGCAACTTCTGGTTGTAATTGTAAATGAACAATTACATTACGGCCCTGTCCCCTACTAGACTATGTGCTCCTTGGGGGCAGGGAGTGGGTCCCATTCATGGTTATATCCCTGGAACCCAGCCCATGTCGGTCATTAGAGAGTACATGGATGAGTGAAACTCAGTAATGGCATTAGCTTTGAAAGGCATCAGCAGGAAACTTCTGGAAACTTTCCAGAGCTCCATGTCTTGGTCCTCTTTTTCCATCACCTCCTCTGTAACTCCCCCTGAGATCCTTGCCGAGGTTTACCCCGCAATCGATCCTGGCTTAGCCAGCCCAGTGCTTGTCACCCTTGGCTGCACATTAAAATACATTGATTCCCAGACCTCTCTCCAGACCAGCCAAATCCAGTGTGTAGCTGAGGCTGAAGAACCTCCCCTCTGGCCCCACACCACCAGAAGTCTCCTCATGGCACGCCCGAGGTGGTGGTCTCTTCAAAAGCATCCGTTGGTGCTCACTGAACTCAGTGTCCACAGTACACATGGGCAGTCCAGAGGAGAGTGATAAATAAAATATACTCTGAATAAGAGACTGCTATATTGGGACTATCTACTCTGAGGGACGGGACATAACTCCGCCCAGGGACTTTGGTCCTGAAATCAACTGTTGCCCAATCTTCCATGTGTGACCAGTTGACTTAGGCCCTAACAGACACCGCACAGACATCTCCTGCTCACCAGTGCTCCTTGCAGCCCAGGCTGGCCGTCGTCCTGGTCAGACCCAGGTGACCTCTAGTTTAATTGGCATTCATGTCTTCCCAGGAGGTCAAGCTGAGGTTGCCAGCTGATTACTCAAGGCCTTGCACAACTCTGGGGGGCAGCTGGGTAATTGCACATCAGGGCAACACGAATATGCCTGGGGCTGGGGCCACCGGTCGGAGCATGTGAAGCAACTTTCGTCTTTTCAGCTGTCACTATGGCTGTGAGCCTCTGGGGCAATTTCTACTTGAAAATGTATGCATTGGCCCTGTCATCATGGCTGTCTCCCTCTGCCAAGGGGCCAGAGGCTTAACTAAAAACTCTTAACCTTTGTAAAAACTTGTGGTCATTTTAACAGGAACACTTGTATCGGGTTCTGTCCAGAGTAACCAAATAAAAAACCAGTTACCTATTATTTCTCAGGATCCTGGAATATCAGAGGCAGAATCTTAGCTCTCACCTGGCACAGAGGTTCACAAACAACAATTAGACTCGCCTGCGGAGTTCTATTTATTTACTTTAATTTTTAAATTTCTCCTGAGGAGTTTTAAACTATGCTAACGTCTGGGTCTGACTAATGAAAAGCACCTCCAGAGAGGGGGGCCCAGGCACTGGTGTTTTCAAAGCCCCCTCACGAGGCTCAGGTGTTGTCAGGGTTGAGAAACACTCAGGAATTCAAATTCTCAAATTCCTTTCTTTTTGTTTTTAATCCTCACCCGAGGACACTTTTGCATTCATCTTCAGATAGAGCGGGAGGGAGAGAGGGAGGAAGAGAGAGAGAGAAACATCGATGTGAGAGAGACACATCAAGTGACTGCCACCCACAAGACCCCAGCTGGGGCTGGGGACAAACTGCAACCAAGGTCCTTGCCCTTAGCGGGAACCAAACCTGGGTCTCTCTGGACTGCGGGCCGACGCTCTAACTGCTGAGCCAAACTGGCCAGGGTCAAAATCCTTTGTTTTTAATATGAGAGAATTGGGACTGAGGTGTCTGGGAGCAATTCTGAGCTGTTCTGCTCGGATGCCCAGCGTGCCTGACAATACACCAGAGCAATAAACAGCAGTGAGTCAAGTTCTGCTCCGTTCTGCCAGGTAACTGTCGGGACCACATGCCTGCTCTTCCACTTCCTTCCCCTCTGGTTTTCCTTGTCTAAATCAGAAATCTCTAGAATCTCCCATCTTTCTAAAGCCCCACTCTCCTTATTGACAGATTTAGTAGATGAGCTAGAGCCGAAAGAGCCTTGCCCAGGACCACCCGGCAAGGGGCCATGTCCAGGGTTTCACTGGCTGCCCCCAGGGTAGCAATCCGCTAACTTGAGCCCTCACCAGGGGGCTGCTGGGAGGACTGTCCACATCTAGTCCTGTTGTGAGGCTAAACACTGGGACATTTAAAACTATATTAGTTGAAACTTGGGCAAAGCTAGAAATTTTGGGATTTTGTTGACCCCTTTTTAATTTGTAGGTGCTAAATCATTGTGATGATGGGTGGGGGGTGGAGGGGTGGATGGGAGGAGGTAACTGGGTTGGGACCGGGGTGAGATAAACAAAGGTCCCAGGGTACAACATTAAAGAAGGTGCTCATTCTCGAGGTCACGCACAGGCTTCCTTCAATTTTGTGGCCTATGCCCCTCCCTTGTGTCACCCTAGCCCTGGCTCGGAGGCAGAACGAGGGAGAGGAAGGAAGGAGGAAATATTCTCTCCTGGCCAAAGAGCCTAAATCTACAGTCTAGTCCAAGCGAGAGCTAGAATGCTACTCTGCCAGTGTTAGCCTGCCTCAGGCGCCAAGTCCAGTTCAAAGACCAGTGATCCTGAAAGTGCAGGAGGCCCGAGCTGGGACATCACCCAGGGTGCAGAGGCGGCTGAGGAAAGTTCACCTTTTCTCCCTCCTGCTTCCTCCTGCCTCACCAGCCGGGGCCTCTGGGTAAAGGTGGGCCCAAGAGAGGCAAAGAACAGAGAATCCTGAGAAACAGCAAGTCTAAATATTTAATTTGTTCTTTTTGTTCCTTTGACTTGAGAAGTAGCTTCGGAAATCAGCCTGGGTCCTGAGGCTTTGCATTGTTCCCAGGTGCAGGGCGCGGAGCGCAGCTTCAGGCCTTGGGAATGCCTCTCCTGCCGTGCATGGGAACCTCATCCTTGTGATCCTCTCTGGCCCGAGTCTGGAATGAAAGCTTCACAGCCTTTGCCCAGTGTGAACTATAAATCCCTTGCGCAGTTAGCACACACTGAGCTGGGTAAGGTAGTACTGAGACCTGGGATGCCCACCCTAACCCCATCTGCCATGAAATAGCTACACATCCCTCCAGGCTCATGTAGGTCCCACCTCTTCTGAGGTGCATGTCTTAGCCTCCCTCACCAAGAAAGGATTCTTGATAACCATCCTGCGATATTTCCTGTGTTGTTATATTAAACATATTAATATGGGATCCTGAACAGACAAGGGATATTGGTGGAAAGACTGATACAATCTGAATACAGTCCATAGTTCAGTTAATAATAATGTACCAATGTTGATGTCTTAGGTTTGATAAATGTACCCTGGTTTAGTAAGATGTTAACATAACATAAGGGACAGCTAGGTGAAGGTTATATAGGAGCTCTTTGAGTTATCTCTGCAAATTTTCTATAAATCTAAAATTATTCCAAAATTAAAAACTATTTAAAAGATGCATTAGATGTTTTATCCCGTAGTGAAGTTGAAGGACTGAGGTGTTAGTGTAAGAATCTCAACCCAACCACTTGTGAGTTCTTGGGCAAATAACTTGAATCTGTTTGTTTGTGAAAGAAAGATAATACCCAGGTGGTCAAGACTGATACTCGTCCACCAAAATTAGTCCTCCTCTTCCACAGTAATGGAGCTTGGCTGCCCACCTTGCAATTCATTATGGTCCAGGTGACTATTTTGTCAAGGGCCAAATACTTGATCAGACTCTGGAAGCCAGTGCCGGAGCTGGCTAATGGGACACACTACTCTAGACTGGAGGGAACTCCCATCAGCGGGGTTGTGATGGAGCTGGGATTAGTGACAGTGATCATGGTGCTCCATGTTAAGTCACCGGAGAACTTTTAGAAAACCCAGATGCCTAGGCCATACCCTGCACCAATCAAATCAGGATCTCTGAGGGTAGGACCCTGACATTAATATTTTTTTCAAACTCTCCAGGTGACTCCAATGTGCACCACGATGGAGAACCAGTGAACTAGATGGTATTTAAATTTCTTTCCACTCCCAAGCTTCTGCAGAGAGCAAAAACCATGTTTTTGGACTTTAGAATGTGTTTCCATCTCAATCAGTAATGGATGTTTGGAAATTCAGAATACTCCGAACAAAGTCTCGACGTCTCACACTGTAGGGCTGATGTAGGAGGATTTGGGAAGTGGCTAAGTTTCCTCCTTCTGATCCTTTTCCATTCCTGCCTTACCCTCTTCTCAGTGAACAGACCCAGTGTGATTTTTCACATGCAGAGAATCACCAGGCTTCTGAACCCCTTTCTGGACTGGGAGAAATAATTAAGTGGACTTCAGTAAGGCAATAGAGAGAAGGGAGAAGAGAGGGGTCAAGAAAGAACTTTTACCAAAACAAACATGACTTTTAGAAAAGTACACATGCTAATTGTATGTGTCCATAATAGTTGGAAAATTATAGAAAAGTACAGGGAATAAAATTTAAACCACTTATCATAATATTACTTTCAGAGATACAGACTATTAATATTCTGGTATATGTATTTAATTACCCTTTTATATTTATGAAAAGTGGGATGATGGCAAATATTAAGTTTTTTTATCCTGCTTTATCATTTATTGCTAGTGTTTTGCACTAAATATTGTTGAGATCCTGATTTGAGTGGCTACCTAACGTTTTATCGGATGGTTGTTCTATATTGTATTTAGCTATTTTTTGTATCATTAAATATTTTTCCTTTCGATATTTTCTTTTAGGGCTTCTGCCATGAGTGACACACATAAGACAACTTGAATATTCTATTTGTGGAATAGACATCAAGATTTCGGAAGCATTTTTTTGATATCTTGGCAGCTGGTGATTGTTGATCCTGGCACCCACCAAAAAAAAAAAAAAAAAAAAAAAAAAAGAAATTTCCTTTTAGATATTTATTGTTTGAATAGATATCTTTGATCAAAATGCCTTTAAATTTTCTTTTTTGGTGTGTGTGTGTGTGTGTGTGTGTGTGTGTGTGATAACAGAGGGCTTGTTTCCCTGTACAGCAATAATCTGCTCATGCATATTGTTTGGAAAAGTCTTGTTTGTTTTCTTAGAGAGGTCTGGAGGCCCTAACAAATACCTATGTCTTCCTTCTATTCATTTCATATATTTTGGTCCAAAGATTTCATAATTCCATTCCCACCCTGGCTATTCCCTAGGGCTGTGAGCAGAGGAGAATAATATTTTGTAAAGGGCAGTGATTGTATTCTTTTCTTGGCATGTTCCCCTACAAAGCACTACACTTAGGGCTTTGTATAAATAAATAACACAAATATAGGTCTCGTGGGGGAGGGCTCTTGCCTGCTGTTTTTCTGGGGCCCAATGTTACTGTCTTGTTGACATGTTTATGAGTTGAGGCTGGTTTGAGCTTTGAATTAGGACCAAGTAAAGATGTTTGAGTATTTGAATGAGGACCACATAGATACAGGGAGATATTAATTTTCACACATGACCTTTTTTTTTTTAATTTGAGGAAGAAGGTGATAAAAAGTGAAGGGGAGAAAAAGGAAAAGGAGAATAAATAAAAGGAGAAGTTGAGGTTGCAAGGACCCTAAAAATAACTAGGGCTCAATTTACTGTGCATCCAATACCCTGGGGATCCTGCTAAAATGCAGATTCTGATTCAGTGGGTCTGGGTGGGGCCTGGGTGTCTCACGCTCCAGGTGAGGCTGCTGCTGCAGCTGCCAGGACCCCACGTGAGAAGCACTGCCTGGTGTGGGTTAGAACTGGTGCAAAGACCCTCTCCCTCGCCGCTGCTGTTCCTCTGTGCTAGTCTTTCTCAAACCTGTTACCTTCTTGGTCACTGATGAAACTTTTGGTCTTCATGTCAAAAATGGGGAAGCTTTTACAAAGCTTCCCCCAACATTCCAAACACACTTTACTCCAAGTCCCTCCACCGGAATTTGATATCGATCTCATTTCCAGTCCTTTCCTGGCTTGAATCACTCGTTCGATTCTTCTGTCCTCATCACTTCACCAAATCTGGTTTTATTTTCTCTAGAGATTTTAATGGCCAGTCAATCTTTGCACCAAGAACAGCCTTCCATGTTGACTTACTGGTTCCACATCAAAACAAAATTACAAATGGAATCTTCTAAAGGTGGATGAGTTTAGATTAGACTCAATGTATGGCTTTGGTGGAAAGTTTTTGTTCACCTCCCGGCCCACTTCACCACAAGATATGGTTTCCAGAAGGTGTGGAGAAAGACGGGTGTTTTCCCTAGAGTGGAGTTTCTTTTTTTAAAATTCTTTTCTTTATTCATTTTAGAGAGAAAGAAAGTGAGAGAGAGAAAGAGATAGAAACATCAATGAGAGAGAACGTCGATTGGCTACCTCCTGTATGCCCCCCACTGGGGATTTGGCCCATAGTCTGGGCATGTGCCCTGGCTGGGAGTTGAACTGGCACCCTCTTGGTGCAGGGGTCGACGCTCAACCACTGAGCCACACCAGCCGGGCGCTAGAGTGCAGTTTCTGTGTCATTGTGGCAAATAGGAATTTTCAGACCTGCAGTCAATGAAAGCCTTTAAAATTCTCTTTGGATGAGTCTAATCCCAAAGGCTGCCTAGTCTCCATATAAATAAGAATTTTACAAGGCTAATTGCCCAATGTTGGTTCTTCTGCCTGAAAACAATGATTTGGGTGTGAATCACTGACCACACATCGTGGTCTGACATATACCTCCAAACCCACTCAGGACCAGAAAATAGCAATTAAACCTACAAAGCTGGAACAAATCTTTCCAGATTTAACTATGCATTTAACTCATAAAACCTTCATGCTGTTTTGGCAGTAGCCTTATTAGATCATTGCATGGCGTGTCCATTAAAAAACAATATAATATTAGAACCAGAGAGATGGGCGTGTTAGAAAGACTCAACTGGCCATTGCTGGCTCTGAAGATGGAAGGGGCCATGAGCCAAGGAGTGTGGGCAGCCTCTGGAAGCTATAAAAGGGAACTCATGGCAACAACATTGTCAGATCCATATGAACGACTTTGCAAGGCTCAAGCAGCTGCAGGAGCCACAGCTGGTGGAGAACCAGATCGGAGTGATGGAACCGGGATGAGGGCTTTTGTGATATGAAGAAACTGGAGTGGCTACAACTGAACCAGAACCAGCTGCACATGTTACCAGAACTGCTGTTCCAAGTAACCAGGCTCAGTGGAGGCTGTGAGTGATGCTCCGTGGCCAGAAAGCTCTCTCTGTGCTCTCATCCCTCGCCTTGTGGGAGAGGCAGTGTTTGGTCAGTGGAATCTGGACTTTCCTGTGTCCCCCATGTTCCTCACCAGGGAGGAGCTGCTCAGGGTGTCAAAGGTCAGGCCTTCTCTGTAGGAAGGTGCTGGGTGGGGCATTTCTCCATGCAAGCACTTGACAGAATCTGAAGTTCACCCAGTTCCTCGTGCTCCCTCTGCCAGGGCAGTGTTCTGGGTGTGGGTCCGACTCTGCAGGGAGGGCCATGCCTACGCATCACTCACTGCCTTTGGTGACCTGCCTTGGGTCAAACTTTTATATATTCAGCTAAGCCCTTCTTGGGCCTATTTCTATTTTGAGCTCGGAGTGATAAGGTCTATAAGCTTCTTAACTGCAAGTAATGTCATACTTTTATTTGTTATAAATGTACTTCTTTCAAGTTTTAAGGGTAGCGGCTCTTTCTGCTGCTTTATCATTTGCCAAATGTGTCTGTGATTGTTTATCGTGTATTTCATTCTGTGGGATCTTGGGTTGGACGGGACCTTAGAGGTTATTCAAGAGATCTCTTCTGCAGCTCCTTAGCAAAGGATTCCTGAGTCTTTGCCTGCCTACCTGTAGTGATGAAATTTACCCTTTGACACGGACAACAGTGATCGGACTCCACCCTTTGATACAGCGAAGCCAAGGAAGGATTTTAAGTAGGAGAGTAGCCATGATTACGATATTTGGTGATTCCAGCTTTGGACCCCCATGAGGGTCCCTCCTCCTCTTCTCTCATTGGTCACCTTTGTCCTCTGAGGAGAAGTACTTTCTGCTCCCAGGTTAACAACCAGCCAGTTCCAGCAAAATCTCTGGGAGCCACCACACGGTTACACCAGACAGACAGCACAACTGTGGGTTGCAAATTGTATTTACCTGCTTCATTTACCAGACTTGACCCAAATGCCACTTTACTTTACAGTCAGGACAAAAGAAGTAGAGAATTCCCACTAAACAAAGCAGTCTGACTCCCTTTTCCAGCTGCTTAGATAGTCAAGGTTCGGGGCTGTTCTCATCCCTGGTGCTGCAAGATTGGTGCATTTTAGAGATGAATAGATGGAGTTATGTCCAGGAGAAAGTCATTATCTGCTTTCTGATTGGCTGCTGAGCAATCAGGCAAACTAGAATGAAAAACAGGAATGTCCTCAGTCCTTCTCCACCCCAGGGACCTGGCCTTCTCCCACAGGCTCCTGGAGGAGGAGACATTTCCAGACCACTGATGTCTAAATCACTCTCTCCCTGGCCATGCCAAGGCCACGGAGGTTTTGCTGAAGGCTAATCCAGCCCCTCTCCCAAGCAGACAATTTCATGTCTCTGTTCCCACCCATCTTCCCACTTTGCCTCGTGATGGTCCAGTTCAAACCCCCAAAGCCACTTCTCACCAACTGTTGCTTGGTTAACAGTCAGCCTTGACACTGAGGGTCTCACTGAAGCTTCTAAGATTACTCTCCTCTGCTCCAGCATCAACACTCGGAGGAACACTCGTGGGAGCCACCCATGGTCCACTCCTGCCTGGGCCGGCGGAGAAACAGCCTTCGCATGTCGTATTTGCAAACTGTTAGATGAATAACAAAAGCAACCTCAGACTCTTTGCCCTAATAGCTTAATATCTTCTTTGTGCTTTATTTGAGGAATACCTAGCACATTAATAAGTTTCTACAACATAAAATTATCAATAATATGTGTAATATATGCAAGGTGTATTTATTATACTGACATTCAGGGTTCTGCAGATTTTATCATTTTAATCAGCTAAGTTATTTAAGTAGAAAGTTTTTTTTTCCAGGGCAGCACATTAATTTTTAATTTTAAAAACATGCAAGTATAATTCTTATCTACCTGGGCTCCCTTCACTAATATTTTAATTCTCTTTGATTCTTCCTTGAAAGATGAAAATTTTCATTTTCATATTTCTTTTTATTTTATTTTATTTTATTTATTTATTTTTTTTATCCTCACCCGAGGACATTTTTCCATTTTTTGTTCAGGTAGAGTGGGAGGGAGAGAGAGGAACAGAGAGAGAGAGAGAGAAACATCGATGCGAAAGGAACACATCGAGTGGCTGCCACCCGCACAACCGATCAGGGCCGGGGACAAACTGCAACCGAGGTACGTGCCCTTAGCAGGAACCGAACCCGGGTCTCTCAGGACCACAGGCCGATGCTCTAACCGCTGAGCCAAACCGGCCAGGGCTTCATATTTCTTTTGAGGCTTTTAGCTTGTGTTTTTTTGGTTTTGCTGATATTTTTAGAGAAAGATATTAAAAACCATCATTATTAGTACTGTGGACCCCCAGTGGGGAGGAGGAGAGAAAGTTCCACTGATGTTGAATTTGGGGGTGAGGAGAAATTGTTGGGGGTGGAGGAAAAATGGCTTCAGACCCTCCCCTCCCCCAGGAGTAGAACCCATGGTCCAGACCACTAAGCTTCGGGAGTGGAGCTGATCTGACCCAGGCTGGCCTGGTCTGTGGGGGATTCTCTCAGTTTGAGCAGGTCAGACACAGGCTGGGATTTCTGTTTTTTTTCTTTATTGATTTTAAAGAGAGAGGAAGGGAGAAGGAGAGAGATAGAAACATTGATGAGAAAGAAAATAGATTGGCCACCTCCTGCATGC